AAAAACTACCCTCACCCCACTCCTATTACATCATACAAACTTAAGAATGTTTGCTTTTCCTAATGAACAGGTATTGAAGAACCAATATTTTTTAAAAAGTAATAAACTGTATTATTTATTCTAGGAGTTATACCAGTTTAAATCATTTAAGCTTGACTCTCTTTTCGATCATTACATTTTAAAGGTAAAATTTATACAAGTCTTTCAGAAATGGCCATTCTCCCTAACTTAAAAATTTTCAGTTTTTTTTTTTTGTTTTTTTTTACACACCAGTGTCCCTCTGAAGTGCATGATTAATTATTAATTGATTTAAGTAATTATGTAATATGGAAAATGGAGCAAAATATTTTCAGGGCTATCTGCTTTAGTATAACTTTTCTAACTATCCCAGACAGTACAATATTTTGGGCTTGAGATTAACTATATGGTGGTAATAAAATACTGTAAACATTATCTCCATGCTTCTTTTTGATCAGTAGAAATGCATTCTTCATAATCTTCAAATATTTAAAATCGAATCAGAACTTTTAAGAAATAAATGTATTAAGAAAGAAAAAGGTTCTTTTTCTTTCTTTTTAATTCTCTTTCTGACTTCTACATGTCTCAGCCAGATAATGAGTCACATCTCTGAACTTACTCTCTGCTTAGAGGCACAACACTTTTCATACATGACCTGTTCCAAACAGCACTGCCACATGCACACTCAATTATGTCTGGTATCCCCCATGGTGAAATACAGACATTCTTGGCAATAATCCTGAGTCTGACAAACACAAAAAACACAACTTAGGCTGCTACTTTATACATTTCTCCAATTTACTCTTGGTACCCCTGTATTTTTGCCTGCTCTACCTTTATGATATTCTTATACCAAGATTCTGCAACATACCAATGACATAGGTATTCATAGTTGGGATAGGAATGATCTTAAACTGAAAATCAACATATACAACCAAGTGTTCTAAGAAATAGGATAATCCTTTCCAAAACAGAAACAATGATCTGGAATTAGAATGAAAGCAATGATAGCACTGAATCCATAATAAAAATTCAGGATGTGGATTTAGTAAATACTAAATACTTCAAATACCTCAGTGTATTGATCAATTATACCAAATTTAGTATAGGAGATAAGGAAATTGAACATGGAATAAGCTGTACCAGAGGTAGTTTGGCCAAACACTGCAAATTGCTACAAAACCAAAAAATTAACCTGAAAACTTGAGCCACATTGTTAAATAGCCTCATCAGATTGAGACTTACATATAGATGCCATACATGGCGCTAAACCCATTCAGAAATATCTAAACTGTCAGCTATATACAGCTGCTTTTTCAGATTAATGGTTAAAAATGGCTTTGAGCAAGTGAAGCCTGTCAGTCTTAGTGAAGATAACACTTCTTCAAACCTTGTGAACTGGTGTTACACAATCACAAAGACAGAACTGTGCCAAATAACGGAAACAATATCACTTGTAACTTGAAGAGAAAATAATGATGTAAGATGTTGACATGCCACACTACAAATTAAAGGTTATTAAGTAAACTCCTCCCAATACTGGAAAGAACATTAGATTTGAGAAACCTACTTTTCTAAGGTATTGTTTTAAGAGAGGGATTTTAAAAATTTTAACTGACTGCTGAATGTTTCCTTATGGGGAGATGACTAATATTACCATCACCATTGTACTAAGTGCATATTTATTTCCAAAGCACTAAACAAAATGTAATTCAAACATTTTTAAGGTGTTAAGTGAAAATGAAAGGGAGGTAATTTGAGAAAATATACTTATAAGTTCTGTCAAATTCGACCAGGAACTTTTAATATATTTTTCCTTGAGATTTGCATTGCTTGTGAATTTTCTTGTTAATGAATGTTTTTGGGTATGGATCTGCACATCATCACTGCACCATCAACATACTGAAGAGAAATAAGTCCATCTTAACAGTTTATCAACAAAACCAATGAGGAACAGTATAACCTACGGATACATTGACTTGTCTGCAACTAAGGCATGAGAAGGACACAAGACAGGTCTTAAACTAAACTCATTACCTATTGGTGCACATTCTTTTTTCAGATACACATTTTAAAACTGAAATTAAAAACTATTTTAATCATTTTAATCTAATCTTACTTGAGTGCATTCGCCAGATAAAAACTATTTTTGTAAAAATAAAATGGATTAATTCTCCTTGTTTAAAAGAATTTTATAGGCAGAACAACCACCGAACACTAGTGGCTAAAAAAAGAATAATTTTTACTTTGGGTTTTAAAAAAAAATGACTTGCAGTTTTGAAAATATACACATTTTAAAACTGAGATTAAAACTTACTTTATTTTTAATATCTAATTTTAGGTGTATTCGCTAGATAGAAACATAATTTTATTTGTAGAAAATAATTTTATTTTTCACAAGGCTCGCATATCTGGAAATATACACATTTTAAAAGTGAAATTAAGAACTATTTTAATTATTCTTAATATCTAATTTAGGTATATTCCCTACATAAAAACAAATTTATTTATAAAAAAAAAAAAGATCTTCATTCACTTTTCTTGTTTACAACAACTTTATTTCGTGATTGGTGTACTGGCTTACTAGGAAACAATTTTACCCTTACAAAAAAACTCTGACTTCATAAAATTTAACATAAAGACAAAACTGACGACTATTTTTTTTTTTTTTTTATTATTATTTTTCCTCTATTTTGTTAACTTAATTTTACCACAAAAAGTTTTTTTTCTTCTTCTTCATTTCTTTTGTAAACAAATAGATTTCACATTTATTTCCTAAAACTAGTCAGTTAAATGTTTTTATTACAATGTTATAATGTTTAATTCTATTAACATTTGAAAGTCTTTTTGAATAGTGTTTCTTTGGATATGGTTACTCATTAGTGATAGCACTAAACCAAACAATTTCGGTTTCGTAAAAAATTTTGATGCGATTTCACGGTGTTAAGATGGAACCAAAAAAAAAGTTAGTTTTTCAGTTAAACGGCCCATCTCTATGATCTGTGCATTAGGTCAAAAGTTGCAGCAGTTTTTTTTGTTTTTTTTTGTACAAATCTGTATATCTTATTTTGGTTAAATTTCCAACTTTGTGACCGTATAGAATTGTCATGCATTGTCTAATGAACTGGTAAAAATTAAACATGGCAGTACCAGGTTGGCTTCTGTTCTAGAAATTATATTCTGCCAAAATGAAAAATTTGTGTATTTTGTGATATTCATAAGCTACATATCAGAATCATTTCATATTGCATCCTGTAAATCATCTGGTTCTACTAAAACAGTCAAAATCACTGTTTTCCTTTATTTTGCAATGACCATAAATGCTTAAACGTGGCTCATCGTACAGATGTTATTGCTTAAATGATAGTGCTAATATTTAAACACCTGTAACTCAAAACCTATCTAAGATATGAAAATAATTTTTTACATTCTGCATGGAATATTGATCTCTTAAGAATGAGTATGTCATTTTTTTTTTTTTTTTTTTTTTTTTTGAGGGCTTGATTTTTATTCAAATTTTAGCTGCTGCCATCTACTGACAATTGTATTTAATCTAGCAAGACCATGTTTTTTCTTTCTTTTTATATTCCCCATTCTCTCCCTTTAAATAATACAATAAGAGAGAAAGATTTAATCCATATAAAAGTAATTTTTACAAGATTAGCGGGGGGTGGTGGCTTTATCTTCTGTGTCCGTACCTAAATCATTTTAATCGAATTAATGTTTGCATATTTGAATAGTGTATTTACCAGTTTATTGTACGCTTAAGATTTTGGGAATATTAACCACACAAAAAATGTACCTTAAGCTTTCCTAACCTGGCCATAATACTAGTGGGAGAAGTTCTTGAAGAAATTTCACCAGATTTTGACAAGTGAATCAAAAAAATATTTTAAGTGAATATGATTTAAAAATACAAGTTGTTTATACAGTAATATAACAATTCCTTTTGCATTTTGTATATGTGTTCACATATGCCATAAATGCTGTAAACAATCCATAAAACATTAAACATGAACTTGTAAACCAGACCAATGATGACGCAAATGAATTGAAATATTTACCTGAATTATAATAAAATTAACTTTTATTTCAATGTAATATTGAAATCAACTTCAGTGTTTTAAAACCTGAACTGTCGATGACCCAACAGTTCACAGGTAGTCTAGTTGACTTATAAAATCAAATTGTAATACATGATTTTCAATGGGTTTTTTTACATATATTATTTAATTACAATATCATCACATTCAGACTTTTCAACAATTCAGTCAGGACTCCAGACTTGAGTTTTTTTTTTTTTTTTTTTTTTTTTGATAGGGTTAAAAAATCATTTCACTGGAATTTTAAACATACATTGTTTTTTTTGTTTTTTTGTTTTTTTTGTTTGTTTGTTTGTTTGTTTTGTTTTTTTTTGTTTTTTTTTTTTTTGCATGGGCCGAAATTCTGTTCTATCAAACTGCTGTATAGATCCACATTGTTGCCTAACAGCAAGCTGATCTGCATAGTTGTAACTTAAAAAAATTAAATCAAGATGGAAAAAACATTCCAGCAATAAATTAACAGCAGGATAATCAAAAGTGATATCAATATTTTTTACTGATAGCCAATTCCCCGCTCTTTCTTTTTTTTTTTTTTTTTTTTTTTTTTTTTTTCCTCACGCTGTGCTTAAAAAAAATGTATTGCTTTATTTATAAATGGCATTGCTTTTTTTCTCTCTCTTTCATTATACAGTATTTTCCCCAGCTTTTGTACAATGCTATTTACTTGTCATTATCTATTAATGCTTGTTACTTTTGATTTTTGTCCCACAGCAACACCTGCTTCTTCTTTCTTTTTTTTCTTATTCCAAAATCTGATGCACTTCCACTCCTTGGCTTTGCCTGCGTTTTTGTTTTTAAACTTTTGTGGGTGGGGGTGCTATGTTACTTAATGTTTTTCTTCCATGTGTTTGTACAATGCCTCAGTGTCTTATCCTGTAGGTCTTATGACTTGCCAACTAAACTAACACGTTCTGTGACCCGGAGATTACAACATGACACCAGTTTGCCTCCAGATAACAACCTAGACAAACTCCAGGGCAGTACCAAGCGTAAAAGCAGCCAAAAACAGAGAAGGAAGACTCCAAAGAAACCAACTCCTGAAGAACCTTTTTCCCCACTTCTCAGTTCAGTTCCTGAAAAGGTGCTGCTCCCAAAGCACTCAGTCCAGAATTTTGATACTATGAAGCCTCCTGATGGGCCAAAGTCTCTTCCTAAGTCTAAAATTCCACGTTCCTCAGCCTCTGATTATACCAACAGCACCGTGATCTACCCTGACACTAACAAAGTTCATACCCCAAGAAGAAGTTTTGGCTTGAGTGACTCATTTCACATTTCCCCAACAAGTTATTCCCCTGAAAGTAACACTAATGCCTATTCCAAGAAAGTGTATGCAAATGATAAAAATGTTGTTACTGCTTACAAAACAGCACTAGAGGTGAATCGGACAGATTCTGATGAATCTGTGGACAGTCAACAGGATAGTGATTTTGACAATCCTCATAACAGTGGTTGTGATGATCCTGCTGAACATTACTTCAAGACCAATGTTGCATATTCTCCCATGCAGAAGTTTGACTCTGATCAAGAGATGGATTCTTCTGATTGGGTTTATGATACTAACGAACCCACCAAACAATCAGAGAAATTCAGTAGTCAGATTCCTAACAAATGGTCAGCCATATCCCACATGAGTGACCTGAAGACTTCACCTGTGTTCAAAAAGTCAAATATTCCTACAAGTCACATTGGTCAGCCAAAGTCTTTGGACAAAGCTCAAAGTACAAAGAAACTAAACAGTATTTGGAAATTAGACCCAGTTGAGGAACAAAATATTCATCATGGACTCAGTGAGATTCAAACAAACTCAGCAGATTCATCTGTTAAATATGATTATCTTCCCAAAGCATTTGTTGAGAAGTATGGTAAGTACATGAACAAGTCTGGCGTTGACAGCACCAATCTGAAGAACCGCCAGTCCATTGATTCTTTGCTTTTCCGATCCCACCGAGAGCAGGCCAAAAGTTCTTGTTCCGATTCTGTTGCACAAGTCAAAGCCGAGAAGTAAGTTGTATTTTGAGCGTTAGATTTTTTTTTTTTTAACTTATTAACCGTTATTTGACTAAAAAAAAAAAAACAAATGCCTGCTTTTTATTTTAAAAAAAAAAATCTCTGTTGGCTTCCAGCAATTTGTTTGAACTAATATCCTCATCTCTACAATCAGAACATTTGACATAGTCTTCAATCAACCTCTCGTTATGTAACTTAATCTGAGGAGTCATTAGGTTATTAGGGTCACTTTCCTACAACTTGTAATTTTATGTGTGTGTTAATTCCACTGCCTTTTCCAGTTGACATCTTTATATATAATTTTATACTCAATAATGGAGTTAAATTTATTTGTTGTTCTTTAATCTTTGTGGATTTTTAATAATTTAATACTTTTTTTTCTATTGTCTTTTCTATTTTGAACTTTTTAAAATATTATTAAAAAAATAATGATCTTGTATTGATATTTAGCCTGATGAAATCAAAATTATTCATGTTAAAGCAGAGTTAACTAAAGTTTTTTTTTTTTTTTTTTAAATCTTAAACCTTCTAATCTCCTCCAGAAAGCATTAGAAATTTTATTTATTTATTTCTACATTGTATTTAAACATGAATAATGGTAAAGATCTTTGGTTGGAATTTTTTCTTTAAACATGTAGTAAGTTACAATAGAATTCATTTTTAAAGGGGGGGGAGGGTGAAAAATAAATCCCCAGTTACTAGTTACGCAAATCCCCAATAATTTTAATGGAATAAGTTTGGAGTGTATCAGGTAACAGCACCAAATACAAAAAAAAGTTCTTGTCTACCTTTCCATTAAAACTAGTATGCTTATCTGGGTTGTTATACTCACAATATTTCAACCTTGGTATTTTGAAATTAACCCTTTATTCAATCCTCAAGGGAGGGTGTTTTCATTCCACTTTCCATGCTTATAAGGATATCACATGTCAGTTCTGTAGAGTTTATTTGCCTTTGTGTTGCTTTTTCTGTTTCTTCCACTAAATCAAAGCATGACTTTTCTGTCCTACCCAAACCAGGAATTGAATCCACAACTCTCAGGAAACCAGATATCCTTTAATCCAGGTGCTTCTTAGATAATTAAATGGTGTATTTTTGGAGCCTTAAACCATATATCTCTACATGGATGGTGGAATTTTTGAGTATCCTTTTTTTTTTTTTTTTTTTTTTTTTTTTTTTTTTCTTCTTAATCAGAGGCTTCCAGATGTTGCAAAAGCAATTTAACACTTGAGCTAAGCTCCTTGGAAAAGAACATGACCAAGGACTGCATGTATTCCATCCCATGAAAGGAATACAAGTGCAAGAACATCTTCCCCATAAAGGTAAGGGTGAAAGGGCATTGAGAGATAATGATACCGGGTTTGGCAGATCATATATGAAGTTAAAAGAGTAGTCATCAACTTATGTTGAATGAAGTAAAGATAAAATAAAACAACACTGGAGGAATGACTGAAAGAATTAGTGCATATGTTCTGCTCTAACAACTTCCTCAGTCAACCTAGCATAGAGATGAGCACCATCTAAAAGTCTCTGATTAAGAAATGATATTAAAAAAAATTCCTATACTTGTGTACTGAGATTGGGTTTAAATGTTCAAAATTACACCACTCAATTATCTGGCACATTGGATGGAAGGAGATCAGGTTTCCTGATAGTTGTGAATTCAATTCCAAAATGATACCACTCAATTATCCAAGAGACACGTAACCTGGTTTCCCATCAGTTGGGAATTTAATTCCTTAGTTGGGTAGTGCAGAAAAGTTGATATAATCTGGTTTAGTGGAAGAAATGGACAAGCAACATAAAGGCAAGTAGACAGAGTATTAACTGATACTAGATATTCCTTACGAATGGAAAGTGGAGTGAGAACAGTCTATACTCATGGATTGAATAAAGTGCTTGATTTAAAATTGCTAGGTTACTCGGTGAAAATAATTAAAAAAAAAAACAGTTAAAGGCTGAAGGATACAATAGCCAAAGATGAGTATATTAGTACTAACATAAAAGCATATAATAATCATTTCTAATTTCTGTCTGAATTAAAGCATCAGTTAATGAATTTGTTGATATAGTAATCGTGAGTTCAATCCTTGGGCTGGCCAGTGTGTACTTGGATTCAGTGGAAATGACCACGCAGAACAATAAATGAGCAGTATAAAAATAAGAACTAGATGATATCCCAAACAGTCTACACGCATATATTAATTAAAGGGTTCAGTTCAGAATTCCCTGTAGGTTACCCAGATCGATATACACCTGATGAAGGCCAGAGAGCAGAATGACCAAAACATGATGACAACAAAGATGAGGACAATAATCTGAATGTAAATAGTGTAAATAATGATTTTTAAGTCTAAAAAAATTCTTTTTTTTTTTTTTTTTAATTCCTTATCACTAGTTTCAGGGAAATATAATCTCTTGGTTCCAAGATTATTGTTCTATCTCTTTCAAAATATTTAATTAAAATTGGCTAAAATACAATCTGTATTGTTTCAATAACTAATTTTTTTTTTTTAATGTTTATTCTGGTGCCTTGATGTTTTCTGTTAAATTCACTATATTCTTGTAAGAGTTTTGTGCTACTTAAAACCATTAAAGCTACTCTTCAGCTACAACTGAGGAAACATACAAAGCACTTTAGTAACCACTTCATACATATTACTTCAAATATTATTAGTGGATATGCGTCTTTGAAATGGATGCCCCATTTTTATTTTCAGTGTGTATTATGCCTGTCAGTCTATGCATTTGAGAACGTGCTCTCTGGCAGAGTTCAAACCTGCTTCCCCCTCTGTCAGAGAAACCAGTCTGGTCTAGTGTTCTTTGGACCACTTGGCCACAGAGGGCATCACACTCCAGCAAGATTCTATTTACCCTTTTAAGGAATATACATCCCCTCATTTCCAGTAAGGTTCTGTTTGCCCTTTTTAAGGAATGCACATCACCTCATTTGGATTTTCTCAAAAGCCTATATCTGCTTGATTTTTGTATCCAAAAAAAATGTAAAAAAAAAAAAGCATTTTTTATAATAAAAAAAAATTACTCCTGTTCAAATACAGATATCCACTAAAAATAACATTTAAAATAATAAAAATACCAGATTAAGAATGAATTTGTTGGTTCCTTTTTCTCTGAGGAAAATCTATCTAGATGTTTGTTGCAAAGAATTAATATGATAACATCGGCCTAAATTTTATAGGCATGGTGAGGATGTTAGTTCAAATAGATTTCTAATAGATGCTAACATTATCTCTCAAATATCTGATTATAAAATATTGTCTTTAAAAAGAAAATAATACTCATGCTTTGCTTTATTTTCAGCCAGCATTTCTTTCTTGTTTTCTTATTCACTTTCACTCTCCTTTCACCTGCACTTGTCAAAAATTTCCAGTACATATGGCCTCTTTTTTGTCTTTGCAACTAGTAAATAAAAATGCACCCTGGATTACTTATTTATGCACTACATACTTGTTATAAAAGAAAGAAAGAAAATCATTGTCATGACACAAAAAATATTTTTTAAAAAATCTTAAAAGTGAGCAAAATTTGTCAGATTTTAAAGATAAAAATAATTAAGTAGAAAAATTCATTTGAAAAAAAAAAAAAAAAAAAAAAGTAACCATTTTTATGTCAGAGTGCTGAAAAGTGTTCAGCATGACCCAATCCCTCTACTCTACAAAAAATAGTTTATTTCAATGACTGGGTGGGTGAGTGATTAAGCCCAAGAATATTACAGCACTTCCCTTGTGTGTCTGTGATGCATTTCTTTGCAAAGTACATAGATACTCTGATTTTGGATATAAATACCAATCTCTATAAATAGTCATTTTCATTTTGGTTACTATGCGAATATGTTAATAATCAACAATAAAAAAAATCAGTAGGAAAGTTTGAACCCAGACTTGACCAAACAACCAGGTTCATTTTTTCTGTCTATGGACAGTTGTGTAAACTATCTTTAAGCCATATAAAAATAAGTTAATTTAGAGTGGAACTTCATATCTCTTCAGTTGAGTATATGTGATGTAATATTTGCATAGATTGTAAAACAACCTGTCAGGATGTCATTACCATGTTTTCTATTATCATTTGGTTAAAAATATGTAATTTCAAATTTTTATTTTATTTTTTTTTTTAATATATTTGTATTTTAAAAAACCTATCATAAAATGCAAATTGGAAATGAAAATACTGTGTATGTTCTACATAAAAATTGTTTTCATCTGTATTCATTTTGCCAACATGACACAAAAGCAGTAAGATGGCTCAAGCTCAGATTTCAGTTATTTTCATTTCTTACCTGCATCCTTTTAAAGACCGCAAAATGAAAAGGGGCAGTATTCATGTAATGTCTGTGCGTCTTCTGTAACAATGCATTGCTTTACCATCAAACAAATGCTTGCATGTACTCAAGTGATAATGAAAGCCAACCCAGACGAAGACTTGGCAGTACCAGCAGCACAAGAGATTTGCCAAAAGAATTTTGCAACCTCCTCCTAGGAGTTCTAATGACATGATTCTTTGTCAATGCAATAGCTTTAATCACTTCCCCAATGACTGTAAAAGTCTGCTCAGCATAGGCGGGAAGCCTTGTATTCGTTGTTTTAACTGTGATAAAATAGGCCATGTATCCTGGAATTGTCCAGGAAAAAGGGCCAGGGGACAGCAACTCAGTGCAGTTTTCCTCCCCAGTCAAAATATAAATTCAGCGCTGCCAACAATAAAAATTGATGTGTGTGGAAGGAAGTGCATCACACTAGTAGACTCTGGGTGCTTCTGCACCATAGTGAGCAAAATGTGCCAAATGTGGAAGAAATGAAGCATTAACATCATAACCATCCGCAATAGAACACAGAGTTAGGCTCGTCAGCCTTCATGTGGGAAATAGAAGAGATGTTGTGATAGTTGCTCTGGTAGTGCTAGAGGACCCCCCTTTGGATTTGATCTAATTGGAATAGATGTGATGAAGGCCCTTGGTGGAATGTCTATTTCTA